GGCCGGTTTGAGCGATCCAACAGTTCTTTTGAACACCCCTAACTTTACATATCATAGTTAATTTAATAATTCTAAAAAAAATATTAAATTAAAATATATATCAAAGTTCTATTATTTTTTAAACAAAAGAAACATATTACTTTAACTTTTATATAATTTATAATTTGTTAAAATTATTATATTTTATGTGACAACTGAAGAACTATCTTAGTTTTTCATATTTGAAAAAGTACATTCTTCTCTCATTCTTTCAGTATTAACAAATTTGTCACCAACCATATTGTTTAGAATTAAATGTCTTACATTCTTAGTTTCCACAACGAATCTGTAATCTTTGTTTTAATACAAAATATATAACTGAAAATTGAAAATCTATTGCATTTATATTCAACCCCTATCTACAACATATCATGTATAAGTTATTACTTTCTAGGACCAACACATAGTAATACTGATGTATAAATGCTTGGCAACGATTTTAAATAAAAGTACAAGGCCACTTATTGGGGTTTAAACACTAGTAATAGTGTTAGTTTGATAAATGGAGAAATAAATCAAGAAGTTAGCATTATACTTCAAGTTAATTATTGTTTAGTATGCCAATGGTAAATTGGTAAGTTATTTGTGAAGTAAGGCAAAAAAAAATCTAGAAAATGGATTAGAAATGAATTGTATAGGCCTAAATTGTAAGTTTGAACCGACCCTATCTCATTACCATGCAACGATTTAGTAAGCGATATATCTGAAGTTGTGTGCCAAGGTCGGGATTATATTTTATCATAGCGACTTGCCTAAAAGTAGATCTAAAGCTATGACAAGCCAGAGACCATGTACGAGGTCTACTATAACACCCTTTAATGCCCTTGAAGGCATACATCATACTCATCTTACAAATATCCATGATATGCAATAACATCTTAACTTAAACAATACGCAACATAAATATTCTAACAACTAAAAGTTGAAATGATAAACCCAAACTCAAACAAACTCAAGTCTGATAAAACATGGTCCTTAACTTGAACAAAACATCGATGTTAAGAAAAACGTGAAACATATCTAAAATCGACTAAGTCTAATAGATTGATACTTTCTTCTTGACTTTTATCAAACCCTGACTTTATGTCCCATTCCAGTCCCTAGGGCCTAAATCAATTAGCTTGTAAATCAAGGACCGAACCAAAAGAAAGACAAAATAAGAACTATACCGGTCAAAGCTTGATGAAAGGGTATTTATGGAAGGTTCGTACTTGCTTACATGGAATTAACTAGGCACTTTATCTAATAGAAAAACTAAATCGAGCTTGGTTAGTATCATTTAGGACCATCAAGCTAAATTGGTCCTAGTTCCAGACCAAAGATCGACTACCTTGTGCATCTCTAGTATAAACTACAAAACATAGATAAAGCTACAAGAGAGTGATCAAGTGAAAGCATATGCCAAATTGGATTTTAAATCCTTTTACAGGTTGGGGTGTATTTACTTGAGTAGTCGGGCATATGCCAAATTGGATTTTAAATCCTTTTACAGGTTGGGGTGTATTTACTTGAGTAGTCGGGTTACCCAGCCAGATCTTCAATCTATCCTATGACATTAAGAAATCTCTAATAGGATGCATTAGTAGTTCAACCTATAGGGGCAACGCTAAGTGGTGGAGTCAGTTCCAACAACAACCCATAAAGACAAAGGTCTGCAATAAGACTTTGTAACTATAAATTTCTTAAAAGAAAAAAGAAGAAAGATCGTAGCCAAGTCTTGCTTACTATCTCTTAAGAGAAGTGCGAAAGTGTTAGTTTACAGTATCTCAAGCACAACGGAAAATAAAACTGTAACCCTCCAAGGACCCATACGAACCAGAATAAATTGGATGTTTCGAAATTATACCTTACAGTTAGAGATACTTTGAATCACAACAACAAACAAGACTTGATGCCTCCACGGTTCCACACGAACAATCTGAAACCTTTGTCTTCTCGTGATACTACTCACAGTTTCAAAACTTAGAAAGAACAACTTACTTGCATAAAATGTCATACATATAAATGGTTATGGATGTATGGCCTAAGACCACCACCATCTCTACACCTTTCTTGAGTGTAAGAATGGCCACACACTATCACTTTTCTTTTGAAGACCATCACGAGTCAACGAATTTATGTCCAACAGAAATAATATTTGATTTGTATTTAATTAGACTAAATCAATACAAATCAGATTTAATAATTAAACATTTTAATTATTGATACTTCTTATTCCTGTTTAAATTGTCTCATTTTTAAGGGTGTTACATTTACCATTTTTTCTTTTGTATTGATCGTTTCCTCATTACTTGATTCAACTGGAATCCAGACTGTAGGAAGATCATGAGGATCCCTTGAATACCTTTATTTCTTTGGTAGTTTAGACCATTGTGACAAAACCAGTTGAAATCTTTCTTTAATGTACTATGACCTTCTCACTCGAGATCGACGGTCCATTTTACATCCTATATAAAATCGATTTTTATTTTATTTTATCAAAACTCATTTTAATTTGTAAAACTCCTTTTACTTGTATACTTTAAAGTCATGTTTTTGTTTTAAAACGTTATAAAAGTATCACATATATACAACCACACATAATATATCACAATATATATAAAGTGCAAAATAAATGTGAAATGGTTACAACCCCCCTATGTGATATTCATAGAGCCAAGTATGAATACCATTACATAAAATAAAGTCGTATGATTCTAAGCCTTCTCATAACGCCTATATTTCTTGATTTCTTTTATACAAAATATTTTACATTGCAAACAAAGAAACCCTCGAGTTATATTCGAGGGGATTAGATGAGAGGAGAATATACAAAGAGAGTATATAGAGAAAGACACACGGTGCAAGTCATATTTATCAAATATATGTTTACATCCGTGACTAAGGGCTATAACCATTCATCAAGCAAGTCACATTATATATATTCAATCACATTGAAACATAAAACCAATTTGCAACACCACCATATGAAAATAATATAAAATTCATACGATGTCGAAAAAAGGTGATTCAAAGTTCTTTGGAATATTAACAAAAAGATCTACATCTTTTATGTTTTAGAATTTCAGAGATGTAGAACCCTCATGGGTTGAAATCCCAGTCAAACCCGTAGTAGGTTCGATTTTCGAATAGCATTACGACGCTATCATGGAAAAAATCATACAAAATTCATACTAAGTCTAAATGATGCGATTCAAAATCTTGTGAAAAGGTAACATAAAGATATATATTTTTATGTTTTAAGTTTTCGTAAATTCAGAATATTTCTCAGACGAAAAAACCAAAACAGTTTCGAAACAAAAACATAAACAGGAAAACAATTTTTGATAAATCATAAATGTCACGAAAACCGATTTAGAGGTTCGTAAGTAGCTCTGATACCTTTATTGGGTTACGGGATCTCAAGCACATTGGAAAATAAAACTGTAACCCTCCAAGGACCATATAAACCAGAATGAATCCGGTGTTTCGAAATTATACCTCACAGTTAGAGGGACTTTGAATCACAACAACAAACAAGGCTTGATGCCTCCACGGTATCCACGCGGACAATCTGAATCTTTTGTCTTCTTATGATGCTAGTCACGATTTCAAAAACTTAGAAAGAAAAGGGAGCATATGTTGTAGGTGATTTCTAGAGAGAATTGCAAGAACAATTTACTTGCATAATGTGATACATATAAATGGTTATGGAAGTATAGCCTTAGACCACCACCATCTCTACACCTTACTTGAGTGTAAGAGTGGTCATACACTATCACTCTTCTTCTGAAGATCATCCATAGTCAATCATTTTATGTCCAACATAAATAATATCTGATTTTTATTTAATCAAATTAAATCAATAGAATTCAGATATAACAATTAAACATTTTAAGTATTGAAATTCCTTATTCAGATATGTTCAAAGCATGTGACTCAATGGGTTCTCGACATGTTGGTAATAAGTATAAATCTCATATTTATATTTATAAACGATGAGCGGTATCTAGTAATATATCATCGTCACCCAAATGACGAGAATAATGATGCAACAAATTATCGGTTTGTAGTCAATTTTAGTTTACACATTTAATTTTTTTCTCCTTGATGTCCAACTTGAACACGAGAAATTGAATGTATCATTCTCGTTATGTCCAATTTCTAGTTTTTTGATTCTCAAATATACTAATAAAACAGATCATAATATCTCATATTAATTACCTGAGCATGTATGCATTTTCTCAATATATATTTATCAAGGAGTTTAGAGACATCAATCTCGTCATAAAGGAAGGACCAATCCTATCTAAATACATGCTAGTTCTACTGAGTGATATATAAAATATCCAATAATCATTCTATCACCCAGTTACAAAATGATTAAAATAAATGTCAGTATACTTCACTCACACACAACAAACTCTATGTTCTCAAGTTAAAGAATTACATGTACATTGACTACATTAGAAACAATTATGACATCCAATGCAATGTTCTCATAGTAAATCATGTCCGGTATACAAAATCTCAAACTTATACCCATATGTAAATTCAATATCTCTATATGATTCCTTATATATGCTAGTCATTATCATATTATTTCAACCTTAAACTCTATAATATATAAACTATGGCATTTATAATACATTATTTTAAGGTTATTTATTATGAATAATTAAAAGACATAATATAATATAGACATAATAAAATAGACAATTTTATTTATTTATTTATTTATTAATTTCATGAACAAAACTCAAAATTACATTAATCATATAATTGGTTTGGTTTGAACTTTTGCCATTCTAGCATTCCTATTCACCTTTCACAAAAAGGTTTACAAAAATGATGAATTTGTTATTTCATAAAATAAAGTGGACATAATCATAAATTTCAGAACTTAGGTGACTAGATTGTCAATATAGTAAAACTAGGTTGACCAAAATTTAAAATTTCAATTGTCGAACGATATGGACTATGGAGCGAGTGGTAGATAGGAGAGCACAAGTGTGTGGTGTCAGTTTCTCATCAACAAACTGCAACCTGCTCCGCCACCGCTCTCCGTCCTCCACCTGACAGGTACTATTTCCGATCACCAGCTCCGGTTTTCTTCCTTCAATCTGTAGAAACTGTTTACTCTATCCGCCTGCAATCTGCAGCAAGCTACATTCATCGCAAAAGTATGGTTGCTATTGTACGATTGCACTTTTATGCTGTTTTACTGATGAGAATAGATAACTATGTGCATCATGATTCTGTCTGTTTTGGCCTAAAAATATTTCCGACGTTAGGACTCTTGGAGACGATTTTCCTCGAGGTAAATTGTTCTCGTACGACCAGGTCGAGTTCATGGAACATGAACCGGAATCGGAAAAAAAATTACGTCGTTGAGATAAGGAGATGAATTCCGTTGTGATCAATTAGTAAAAATCTATAATTCCTGTTTCCCTCTGCATCTTGATTTCGTTTTTAGATGCATGACATTTTAATTGACAGTTTGTTTTGTTTATCTGGTAGAGGCTTCTTGATACAAGAATTCATGATATCGATGAGTTGTAATTGTTTCGATTGATCAAATCATTTACCTGCCAGGCTTTTATTGGTAGTATTGCTATGCATGAGTAACTTTATCTTTTTTTATGCAATGTTTTGGCAACCATAACCTAACACTTTTTTTTTGGCCTTATTGAAAAACCCTGGTTTGTTATAAGCTAGTACTTCAAACAGCTTCGACAAGCTCCTGTGGCTTTTTTTTTTCTAATTATGTCCCATATATTTTTTCAATTAAATTTTCGACATGTTCTTTTAGGTCATCTATTTTATCATTTTAGGTCATCTATTTTATCAGCTAGTGTTCACCACATGACAAGCTTGTCAGCTTCAACTAACAATTAGCTTTTCAACTAGTTTGACCAACATAGCCTTAGTAAAATTATATTGCCTGGTTTTGTTTTGCCATCCTAGGAGTAGAGTAGAAGAGGTGGGGTTGCAAAAATTGGGTACTTGAAGTGATTTGAATGCATACTTACTTGCCGAAAGGTAACAAACCTGGTTTTGTTTCTGGTTCATGACCACTCCTTGTTACCTAACTAGCTTAAAGCATGTGCATTGCAAACATGCTAATTTATATAGTTTAAATTAAATAATATTCCCATGGTACTTAAAAAATTATATTAGAGAAGTAAAAGGTCAAACCCTATCTATATATAAGGAAAAACATGAAAACGTAAATGGAAATACAATTCAATCAAGATAATTTATGCAAATGTGACTCCAACATTAGGAAAAGTTTAAGACTTCAATTTGAACACAGTTACATAACATGTATGACTTTCAATATAACTAAAAATATTTTACATCATAAGTACTGCCAAATATATGTTCAATCTTTTTTCCAAGTTTTTGAGTGACCTGTTTAGACCCGAAAGGAGGTCCATTTTATGCACAAACCAAGCAAGGAAAATAACATACAGGTGAGGTCTCCAAAGTATATATGTGTGTATTTTACTTCGCTTCAAAGTATCTTCTTTCTAAGCTGGGCCTTCTTGTACTCGATCTTTTGATATAGGTAAATTGCTCCTAGAGTCCTAGCCCGTGCTGTGGATCTTTAGATCATATTAATGAAATCAGACAACCCTTAGACGTGTAAATCATTCTTTTGAAACAGTAGTTATAGAATAGGGTGGATGTATAACAATTACAAATGGGTAAAGTGGCAACTTTGGCTTGAAATTTTTGAAAATAAATAAATGCTGCATTTAATTTAGGACATCTTCAAAAGGGAACTGTTACATTTATTCGAAGGGAATATGATGTATTTGCCTTATTGTTTCATTACTTCTTACAGTTGATGTACCAAGAATTGTGCATTATCCTGAGATACCAATATACTTGGGTGAACAACACCTGGAAAGCTCTATCGTCTACTTTGTTGTGCACATTGTGAAGGTTTATTCAACCTAGAAACATTTAATCCAATGTCTTGGTCTATACATGCTGCAGTGCAGAAGCAGAGAATTTTACCTCACCAAACCCTTTTTAGTTTCGCTAAACTTCAGAACATGAAAACAGAATTTAAGAATCCTTCAACTTTTCTTTCTTCTCCTCTAGATAGAAGTTCCATGAGATCATGGCATTTGAAGGATAAAACTCCATATGATAATAGAAGTACAGTTTCACAGTATCAGCCAATCCAATGTATGGCTAATGGAGATCTAGAAGAGTTGTCTGATGAAGATGAGGAACTGTGCCCTGTTGAATGTGTCAGAGAAATCAAGAAGGATGAAGAATTACTTGCAGTTCTAGAAAAAGCAAAACAAGCCAAGACCTTGGTTGTGGTCGATTTCTATCGCACATCATGTGGTAGTTGCAAATACATAGAACAGGGATTTGCAAAATTGTGCAAGGGGTCGGGCAACGAAGATGCTGCAGTTATCTTCTTAAAGCATAATGTGAGTTCTATTCATTCCATATTCATGATTTGCTTATAAATACTCCCATCATTCCGTGGAAATGTCTTAAGTTGACTTATGAGGGTCAAACAAACTTCCAAAAAGAATTTGAACTAATCATTATGCCATGAAGGGTCATTGGCCCAGTTCAAGGGCTCAAACCTCACCAAAAGTGATGAGTGTGCATGAATATTTGTTGTGTATAAATATTAAATACTTCAAAAAAAATGTAAAATGTGGCAGTTTTTCGTTGTCTTGTGATATGTTTTGTTCTATAGACCATTTTGAAGTGATCATGAAGTTCTGATTCATGCTGCATGCTACAGGTGATTGATGAATATGATGAGCAATCAGATATAGCAGAACGACTTCGAATTAAGGTATGATATATACCATGTTCTTCAAGTATTTATAAGTTATACCGAAGAAAAAACCTCTCTTGATTACTGCTCAACTCTTTGGGTAGAGGTGAGGTCTACCTACATCATACCCTTCAGATCCCACTTTCAAATGGGATAATACTGTTGGTTGTTCTGTACACATATTAAATTTATGGTGATAAAATGCAGACGGTGCCTCTTTTTCACTTCTATAAAGACGGGATCCTATTGGAAGCTTTTCCGACCCGAGACAAGGAGCGGATCAAAGCCGCTATAGAGAAATACACGGCAGCTGCTCCTGCTACTGCTCAAAATGCGTAAGCCATTCTGGTAATAATTGCTCAGCAAATCATAGTTAGATATATACCTGGCATGGTCCTATATATAATTCAAATCCATGCTGCATTGTAACAACATAGCAAATTGTTTTTTGTTTGTGCTTAAAATTAAGATACTATTCTTTTGGTCAATTAATAATAAATTAATTTTGTGGGTCCCAAAGCAAAATGAAAACCATTTTGAGATCACGTCAGATGCTATTCTTTTGGAACGTTCTATTTTTCTTTCTAAAAGAGTTATTCTCTCTCCTCCCCCCCCCTCTCTCTCTCTCTCTCTCTCTATATATATATATAATATGCACACAGGTGGTTGGTTTGTTATCAACTGATGATGTGAGAGATTCCAATTGAAAGCTATATCACTTGTATCGCCTAGTGATGGCCAAACAGGCCCGGCCCGGTCTGAAACCGTCGGATGATCGGGATGGGGACCGGCCAAGGACAGGACAGGACCGGTCCGGGATTGGTAAGGACCGGTTATAGGAACGTGTGCATATGAAGGCCCGGTGAAAAACGTTGCTAACCGAACCTTATGCTTTATGAAGGGCCGGTCCAATAATTGGACCTTTTTCCGAATTTGAGAAAGATGCTTGATAATAAATAAATGAGGTTGATTTTGGTCTATAAATTTGTTGTTTCGAGTTTTATAGGTATTTTGATGATTACAAGACTTTGACTAAAATACATGTCCAATCTCTTAAAATCTTGAAGGTGATGTGAACTTGTAATGGAATGGAGGGGAGAAAATTCAGATTTGAAAAGCTACAAACTCTATTACATTTAAGATTTAGTGATTGTAGAGACCAAAATAATAAATATTGATTAAAAAACATCTATCCATGACTTTGGCTCGCTATGGAATGAAATGGTGAATGTCCCTTTTTCCCCTTTAGGGCCAACTAAATGCACAAGTAGGATGGATATTAGATTGGATATGATATAACTTGACAAAAGGCTTTATAGAACAACCGGTGTAGGACTAAACATGACAAAATTGGCTAGAATAAAATGTATGTCTGATGTTTGGTATGATTAGGGCTAGATAGCACATGACAAGACAATTGTTCTTAAAATTTGTTTAATGATTTTATAATATCATATAATAGGTATAAATAACACAATCAAGTCGATAGTTAAACAAATAAACATTTTTACACAATTTTTATTTACATACATACATACATACATAATAGTATCAAATTTGATCGCAAAATTTTATATAATTGATAGTAGTTTGAAAAAACTTGGTTCGTGTAAAATAAATACTATATTTTATTCGGGTTGGAAGAGACTTGTGAACTGTTGTAGGCACGTTGGAGACTGGGAGGTTGTTGCAACTACAATGCTGGTGGAGGTAGAGGCGGTTGTGACTGATGGACGATAGTGACTATGGAGGATAGTGGTGGTTGGCTGTGATGGTTGCCAGTGGTGGAGGAGGTAGTTGTGACTGATGTGGTGGAGATAGAGGTGGTCGTGGGCGGTGGTCGTGGTGGTAGTGGAGGACAACGGTGATTGTGGATGATGTAAAGATGGCAGATAAGATGCATGGTGGAGGTTGTTGCAACGATAATAGTGGTGGAGGTAGAGGCGACAATAGCTGGTAGATGACACTGATTGTGGAGGATGTAGAGATGGTGGGTAATGGTAGTGGTGGCAATTGGCAATGATGGAGGAGGTAGTTGGGGCTAACATGCAGAGGGTAGAGGGTAGTGGCGATGATAGTGGTAGCTGATGGTGGTGGTGATTATAGTGGAGGTGTTTGATGGTGGTTGTGGATGAGGTTGTAATAGTGGAGGTGGCCGACGGTGGTCGGTGATGACTGTCAGTTGCCACTGGTGGTGGCTATGACGAGGGGTGACGTTAACCATTAAAACAAATATAATATTAAGGTTGATATCAAATGATAGTAGATTGGCAAAATTTTAGTTTATCTCTCATCTTTTTCCTACCTAATTTGGTTTGTACTACATTGTCCCTATCACATGTCAAGGCAAAGGTGGAATGGTGAGTTTTTGTCCTGCCTCATGTTCCCTAAACATCGGATAATGAGATTTGTCTTGTCCCATCATGTCCCGTCCCGTTTCATGTACCAAACGCAACTTAAATGTGCGCTTGATATACATGACGATGAGACAGACCATACAAAAACTTGTTATCTCATGCTTGACGCGATATTAGATTGAGATTAACAAGTCTAAGTGGTACAAACATGCATTTTTTATGTCCCACCAAAATAAGAAAAAGCAAAAATCGGAGAGATGTAACAAGATTAGTAAATTATTTAACTACCCATGTAAAATTAAAACTTTCAACAATCCTTTCATCTGATCGTCTATCCCTAACCGGTCCCATCCCGTTCTGTACAGTCCAATTCCAGTGGCGGACTCAAGATTTTTACCGAGCGGGTGCATCTTTAAATACCCGTAAAGTTGCTGGATGTGTTTAGTCGAATTCCGTGTTTGAGTTTTTTTTTAAAGTTTTTTGGTTGACTTCAAAGAATTTTTAAATTTTTTGATTGATTTCGAGAGAATTTTTTGATTTATTTCAACACATGTGTACCTTTAACCGTTCTAAAACTCTAATATCTCGAAGCACACCCCAAACTTTAGTAGATGCACCTTACATAACCAAACAAATTTCCTTCTTACAAATTAAGGTTGAGTAGTAGCACGAGACCCCTCATGTGAAGGTAGGTCCGCCCAGTCCAATTCAGTCTGTTCTTGAGTTATATACCAGAACCGTTTGGCTTGATTTCGTTTTTACCCATTTCAACAAAACTGAATAATAAATGGTATACATATACATCACCCTTCGAAGCGCACCCATTGCAATGTTACCACGGACATCATGGGGATGTTTACGAAAATGGAAAATACAAAGTGTTTGCAATATGAAGATATTGTTGAATTCCAAGTGCTTCCTATATCCTTCAGACAAGTTTTTAGTGTACGGAAGGCCATGGATCTAAAGAAACCCTAACAGAAGGTCATTTTAACCAAAGGACCCTATTCTACTGTGACTCATGATGAACATTTGTGCATAGGTATTATCATTTCTGGTAAGGCTGCTATGAAATATAAAAGCGAATTCTATTGGAACTTAACATTTCAATTAGCTCTCAAAGGCTAAGGTCGTTGCTTCTTGTGAGATAGCATTATGATAACTTCCCTCATCTTCGACTTAGGAAACTAAACTCGAGTAACTAAAACATGATTGAAAGAACCTAGTTTTTCAAAGATGACGTTTGTTAAATCATTTGAATCCTGATCTCAATCTATTACAAACCATTTCTTTTTTAAGAGCCCAATCTATTCGTGCCAGAAATGACCAAACCAAACAAACCCAATACATCCTACTCGAAAGTAGGATCAAGAGGAGTAATATGTATACATACCCTTGGTTTGTGTACTGTGTTGGATATGGAGATTGATTTAGGGTGCCCTTGGTTCGGATGGGTATTCCATTCCATTTCAATTTTCTTGCTTGGATGAAAAATAGAGATCAAACAAATATTTGTTGGTCAGGGATTAAGGTTTCTCTCTGTTTTAAAATGAGATGTTTATCCTCTATTTGATTATGTCATGATGTATGTTTTCTAAAAAACGTGATTTTTTTTCGATTTAACTTTAGATTTTATATCTTAACAAACTCGGCTAATCACACCGTTTAAGGTTTCTTAGATTCACACATGTCTGTCATGAAATCAAGGTTAACACGAAGTTGTAAATCCTTTCAAGCTTTATTTTGAATATTCGATCACAAACTTTTTATATAATAGTAATTAATTTATATGAACGTAATTTTTTTTAATATCATTGTATTATTAAATAATAAATAGAAAACATATATATAATTATAGATGTCAAATAAATTTGACGTCTTATGTTACGTATTAAAAAACGCACGTACTCGCCGTGGCATGTAAAAGGCTTAAGGCTTAATTAGGTTATCGTCACATCACGCCTCATGCCATTTTGAACGTGTGACTTTTTTCAATTTTTTTATTTTTTTAATTTAATTTTTTAACCTTTGTGTTTTTGAACTTCTAATTTTAGAGATTATATCTTTACAAACTTAGCTAATCACATCAATCACAATTTCTTTGATTCACAGATGTCAGAGACTCATGATTAAAACAAAGTTATAAAACATTTCCAAATCTTATTTTAACCATCTGATCACAAATTTTTTATATAATACTAGTTAATATATATATATATAGAGAGAGAGAGAGAGAGAAAGAGAGAGAGAGAGAGAGAGAGAGAGTTTGTTTCAAATACAATCCGTCGCATTTGTACAACCAATGCAACCCAATAAATTGAGATATTTATGAAAATGATGAGAGTTCATTTATCATGATTTGAATATTTATGTAATATGAACATGGTTCATTAATTATGATCAATACTTTATATTATGAAACAATCAAAACTTCTATGAAATAACATATTAATCAAATGAAATGAACGGTTGAGATTGGGTTGTATTGGTTGCACAAATGTCAATGGTTGTATAATAACCAAACTCTCTCTCTCTCTCTCTCTCTCTATATATATATATATATATATATATATATATAGAGGNGTATAATAACCAAACTCTCTCTCTCTCTCTCTCTCTCTATATATATATATATATATATATATATATATAGAGGTTGGTTATTATACAACCCTTGACATTTGTACAACCAATACAACCCAATCTCAACCGTCCATTTCATTTGATTAATATATGATTTCATAAAAGTTTTGATTGTTTCCTAATATAAAGTATTGATCATAATTAATTAACCATATTCATCTTTCATAAATATTCAAATCATAATAAATGAACTCTCATCATTTCTATAAATATCTCAATTAATGTTCAGATCTGACGATTGTAAATCTAATCCAAGGGTTGAAAATTGGTCTTACGGGTCTCATGAAAAACCATTGGTCTCACATGATCCCAAGTCTCTCTCTCTCTATATATATATATATATATATATATATGAATATTTAACACATGATTTAGCAGTTCGTTGAACAATTGTTGCGGACAAACACAAATAGCAAGCAAAGTCTTGGCTTCCTTCGTGGATCCAACTGCACTCACAAAAATTTTAATATCATTATATTGTTAGATACTAAATAAAAAACATGAGTATAAGCATATATATCTATACTATATTATAAAACATTTGACAAAAACTCCTAAAACATTTTTTATGCATGAAGTATTGTTTATTGATGTATATTACTTAAAATTYAAAATTACAAGTAAATTGCGCGTAGGTACAACTTATTAAAGCTTCATGTTTGAATTCATGTAACTAACTGCAGATAATCATAATCAAATAGAGAATAAACATCTCATTTTAAATATAAAAAAGGGCAAAATGCGCAAAATAGCAACCTACTTTACAAATTTCCTTATTATAGCATTCTACTTTTAGTTTTTCTTATTACAACAATGTACTTTCAAAATATTTTTTATTAGGGCATTGTACTTTCAAAAATTTACCCGTTATAGCATTGGGTAACCTTTTAAATTAAATTTACCCATTATACCAGGTTTCTTTGCCACCTCATCGTCCACGTAGGCTGTCCACTTGTACGATAATGCTGACATGACATTTTTTATTACAGCATTGTACTTTCAAAATTACTTTATTATAAATCACCAATTTCTATTACAACATTATACTTTTAATTTTAATATTTTTATCATTTAAACATTGTAAATTTAATGGCAAAATGCGCAAAAAATATAATAACATAAATTAAACATGTTTATAAAATATCACTATTTCACGAATAAAAATATCAAAAAAAAAAAACCATTCATTCATCGAGTTCATCATAAATTTCATGGCTTACTTTGTAATACCAAAACCTAAACAAGTAGACATTTTTTCAACAAAAAAAATCATCCTATTCACATTCGTCTAACAATGTTATTTAATCAAGTGGAACCGCTTTGTCACAACTACTACCTTCTCCATCTTTCTCAACGGTATTTTTCCATAGGTTGTTCAAAGTTATCATTTCACTTGACCTCCTTTTTTTTGGGATGAGCTTTGGTCGTGATTCCACTTTAGATGGTTGTCGTTCAAATTAGTGAACAAATTAGTATGCAATTGATATATAAAATTAATATGAAACTCGAAGATTTTACATTACCTTTCTAACATCCCTTTGTGAACCTGTTCCGCCTCGTGCACCCCCTTTACTGCTTTGTCCATGAATATTAGTCCTAGGTCTGCCTGGTGGGCTAACATCTTTCAGTGGTGCATCTTTTTTCTCATTCTTGCATGATCTACTGTTATGACCTGCTTCATTACATTTGGTACATGTCATTCTTCTTCCTTGTCTTCCAATATGTCCTGTTGAAGTCAATAATCTTTCCACTGCATCCCTTCTTCTTTTAAGTTTTGGCCTTCCAGGCAATCTTTTTGGCAACGGCGGCAAGGGGCTGATATGATTGGTTTTCAGCCACATTTTGATTCCATTTAAAGGTCTTAAATAATGATTGTGTGACTGAATAAACATGCTTTTTTAAAACAATCTGGAACATAACTTTCTAGAATCTTGTTTACGTACAAGATTGCAGCCATAGCATGGGCACATGGCAAACCCGATAGTTGCCACATTCTACAAGTACATGATCTTTCGTCTACATCAACTATGAAAGCATCTAACCCTCTTTTAACCTCAAAAAGATCACCCCCACATGGAAGTACATGCCAAAATCTACATGGAAATGAGAAGTTAGTGAATTTATAAACAATGAGTACTAAAGCATATAAGTGACAAAATAATACCTTTGTTGTTCCTTTAAGTGCTCAAATTTTTTCCTAATAGCAGGGCATATATCATCCACCCATTTCCGAGATCTCTCTCTCATTTTATCCCTTCTTTCAATCATTATCACTCTAATAGCTTCGAGCAATGTAAGGATTGGTTTTCTTCTAGCATTTACCAATAGTGAGTTAAAACACTCATTAATGCCATTTTCGACAGCATCACATGCTCTATGCGTCTCAAAAAATGCACGAGACCAAGTATGAGGTGCTTTCTCCATAAGGTACAAATATGCATCAAGGTTGGCCGCTTTGGTTTCACATTGAAAAAAATCAAAACAGTTAAGAAAAGCATAAAAGGACAGTTCTAACAGCCTAAATACATTTTAACAACTTAAAACAATAACAAACAGCTTATAATAGCTTAAAAACAACTTAAAACAGTTTTGAAAGTGTAAATACCTTTGATTTCAGACATCACTTCTTCAAATTGTTGTTCATATGACGCTTTAAAGGCTGTCCAGAAAAGGTTTCTGAATTGTACACCGCTAAACTTCTTCCTAAAATTTGCATAAATATGTCTAGCACATTGTCTGTGTTCAGCTACCGGGAGCACATCCTTGACAGCCTCAATCAGCCCCTGCTTAAGAAACAAAAAGTTATTTTTTTGATTAAAAATAATTATAAGAGGCATAAAAAACACACTTAAAACGATGTAGAAACGACAAAACAAAATGTACCTTATGTTGATCTGAAATCAAAGTTGTACCAACACCATCATTCAAAGATAAGTCTTCTTTCAACAAGTTAATAAACCACGTCCAGTTTTCTTTGTTTTCAATATTCACCACCGCCCAGGCAATTGGGAATATTTGATTATTGGCATCTCGACCAACGGCTGAAAGCAACTCTCCTTTGCATGTTGTCTTTAAAAAGCACCCATCAAGCCCAATTACTCTTCTACATCCACTAATCCAACCTTCTTTCAATCCTTGTAAACATATATAAAAGCCTTGAAAGTAAGTTTTCCCATCGGGATTGACTTCAACACTCATTTTTACTGTAGATCCAGGATTGGTTCTTCTAATTTCTTCACCATACTCCCAAAGTTTATCATAATGTTTCTTCATGCCTTGCTCAAATTCACTAATCGCATGTGTCCTAGCCCTAGCACATTGGTTGATGCTCACTAGACACTTGTATTTCTTCATCACAGCAGATTGCAAGTCCACTAACTTCATATCAGGATTTTCCCTCAATCTACTGGCAAACTTCTTAGCAATAAACTTATAGTTCATCAATGAACCAAATTTAAAGTTTTTTTGCACACATATGCTCATCCACAAGAGATTTCACTTGGAACGATCTCTCATTTGCCATCCAAGTTGCCCATAATCTCCAAGGACATTTCGGTTGATCATCACTAACTTCCCTTCTACATCTTGCTAATAGCTTAGTGTGATCATTCCTTTCGAAACATATTTGATAACCATTGGCTAATGTATAATTTGTTATGCATTCTTTGAGTTGTGTTGGGCTTTCATATCTCTCACCTAGTATAGGTTTCATGATCTTCCAATGTGTTTTTGGATTATGCATTGGATATTTTCCACCTTCTTGTGCGAGGTCATGCTCTTCATCATCATTATTTATATTGGTCTTAATAATATTATCCCTTTTTAACTCCCCATTAAAATCATTTAAAAACTTTTCATGCTCAAAAGCCATCAATTTTCTTCTCTCACATTATAATGATCTTCTCCAATATATTCTTGTGTCACTAAACCATGCCCAATTTTTTGTCTAAATTCAATTATTTCATCTTCACCTTCGGATATATGATCTAAAGAAGGAGCATCAGAAACATCGTCATCATCATCACTAGATGAACTGTCACTATCACTATCACTACCATCTTGTCTCAAATACTCTGTTAAGTCTTCAGCAAAATCATCTAAATACACATCAATTATCTCCCTACTTTTGAGTCCATATTCAATAAAACTCTTAAAATCCACATCACATTTAAGTTTTCTTAAACCATTTTCTAAGCCCTTACCAAGTTTATAAAAGTATATGTTTTCACACAATGTATGTGTTTCATTCTTCAAAAAAGCAACAAAATCCATGTATTCGATGTTGCCAATGTCAAAAGTTTCAAAAAATATTCTCAACCCATTAGCATATTCAAGTGGCCAAAATACAAAAACACCTGTGTAATGTACCTCAAAAGATATTGATGAAGATGCCATCCTGAAGATAAAGAAACAAAAAGAAACATTAACACTATTGATGAAGATGTATCTTATGGTTTGTTTCTATTATGTTCATCCTTCTAAATTTCTTTTGACAACTGACAAGAACAAGCTATAGAGTAAAAAAGTTGCTGGACCATTTTGGTGCTACTGCAAGTGAGGTGTGTGCCATGGAACTTTCATCTATCATATACCTTGTACCATCACTTGTGTTTTATTTTAATCCACATAAATTATTAATTTCTTTGAATCATATTCCTTTGTTCCATAATAAATAAATAAAAAATTGATATCCAACAGGCTATAATCAACCACCCTTCTTTTAATATATAGACAATACACAATACACAATACACAATACACAATAGACAATAGACAATAGACAATAGATAATAGACATGGATTTAACAATCAAAAGCAGCAACAAAAACTACCTTGAATTGTTAACAGAACAAGTGTCTTTTAAGTTGAGATCTAACTTCTTATTTGAAGGCTAAATAGACGAAGGGAGATCCAAGGTATGATTAGTTCTATGAACCACAGTCAAGGGGGCAAAACAAGAACCACTCCACTACTATTTTTTTTTGTAATGGATGCCTTAAGAAAGCATTATAGTGGTGGATTAGGTATGATGAGATGATGAGAAACATGTAACTGACAGCTTATCATTATAGGCACCTCTCCTTCTCATTTGCTAATGTCAATGACGAAATGTGGGTGTAGTACCAAATGTACCCAAGATAAGAAATCCCATAGATAGATAGTCATGGCTTCTATTAGTAACCAGTACTAAAACAGAAAATGTACATATACATTGTTGTAAAACATATTGAACTTACTTGTTGGAAGAGGATGCGCGATGAGGAAATCGATGAGATTGAGTCGATTAGGGTTTAGATTTGATAAGGAAGAAGATGGTGAGGGTCGATTAGGTCAAAGAGGAAGACAATGTGTGCGATTAAGGGATTGAGGGACTGTGGGTGAACCAACAGTCATCATCAGGAAGAGGAAGAGAAGGAATAGTCTAAACAATGAGAGGGATTGACGTTTTTTATTTTCAAAAATTGTTTTTAAATTAAAATTTTCTTTTAAATGACACGTAGGATATCCATGTGTAATATGTTATCCTACATGGTTTTCATGTCATTTTACATTTGACACGTCAACAAAGAAAAACCTGTTCAAAAGGTAACAGGTTACCTAATGCTATAATGGGTAAATTTTTGAAAGTACAATGCTCTAATAAAAAATATTTTGAAAGTACATTGCTGTAATAAGAAAAACTGAAAGTAGAATGCTATAATAAGGAAATTTGTAAAAGTAGGTCGCTATTTTGCGCATTTTGCCCTATAAAAAATCTAAAATATGATTAGAATAATTATTGAGTTCTAACAAAATACTTAATTATTATCTTTATAAAAAATTATATTATTAAACCAAAAATTAAAAAAAAAATGAATTAAAGATATACACAAAAAAATAGAAATTTTAAATAGTTAGTTTGGTACCAATATCAATATATTTTTTTAATTTTGTTATGATATATCATTATATTTATATTTTATTCAAAAATAAAAACGTTATTTTTTTCTTAAACCGTATTATAACACTGACTGAGACAAAAAATAATATTAAAATCGAGATGTATCTCGCTCCATTGTGCGAATACTTTTCTAGTATATATATATATATATATATATATGGAAATGTTCAAACGAGAACACCTTCATTTTACGAGAACGCATGTGATATTAAATTAGAAATGCGGATGATTTTCGATGCGATCATTGTTGCGGGCCAAGTCGTCCTTACACCACTAAGCCCCCTCACAAGTATTATCACATGTGATAAAGGTGTTGTTGATATAATACTATAATCCATCAAGACCATCACATGTGACGTTAAATCATAAACGCAGACATCCTTTGGCGCGGCCTAAGTCGTAGAACACGTCGTTCGCACATCATAGGGTCCCCTTACGCGTATTATCACATGTGATAAGGCACTACAACAAAAAGGGGTTTATAGGACACTTTTTTGGGACACTTTTCGAAAGCCGTCCTTTAAAAAGGCTAATACGACTTATTATTTTATGAGTCTTATTTGACTTAATCTTATAGGACTCTTACTTTTGATGTCTTATTAACATATCTTGACGTCATGTCATGTAATCTAATACGACACTTTTGAATGTCATATTATTTTATGGTCTAATAGGACACTTTTAAGTGTCGTATTATTTTAAAGACCAATATCTTATTTTAAATGCTAACATGACACTTTCAATTATCCTATTTTTTTAAAAGCTAATACAACACGGTTGGTTGTCCTATTAGAGATTAAGAGCTAATAGGACACTTTTAAGTGTCCATTAAAATTTAAAATAATATGAATATAATTATATATTTAGAAATATATTTTTGTCTTCCAAAGTTTTAAGCTATTTTACATAAACTACTTAACTTAAAACAAAAACATTGGGCCAAAATACTTGTTAGAAAGCCCAAATACTTGTTGCAGCAAAAATGGACTTGAAGGTTTAAAACAACTTTACTATTTTTACGTTGAAAGCCCAAATACTTGATAAGCAAAAACACTTCTTTTCAGAAAGCCCAAAACCTCAAATCCTGCCTAGAATCCGGTTGCAACTTGCGATCATCATCGAGATCTGCCTGAGAATCCGTTTGCGATCGAAACATCTAAACCCTGAGAATCTCAAAGCCTGGTTGTTTGCGATCGACTCCTCTGCACTGTTTGAGATCCGTCAAGCCCTCGGTCTTTGAAGCCCTAGCTGTTCGTCAAATTTTGAGAAAGTTTTCGGTTGCAACATTGACGGTAACAAAATCAAACCGACTAGTATTTTTTCTAACTTAAATTTGTAGTGCAGTTAATTGTGATACCGATATTGGATGATATGCGCAGTAATTATATTAATTGTGTTAATAGGAAAATATTGCAATGATCTACAGCCCTTGACTTGAACGAACCATCATCGAGTCCTCTACAGCCCTCACTGTTTGCCATCATCGATTCCTCTACACTCCTCTGCACGCTGAGAATCTCAAACTTAAAGCCCTCACTGTTTGCGGTATGTCGTTGAAAAACTGACATTTTAATTTCTGTCCAGCTTTCATGTGTCAACTTCATCACTATTTTTGACTATCAAGCAGATTCATTGAGACAAAACACAAAACGTAAACATTGAACTCCAGCCTCTTAGCTTTTCATGAATCTCTGATTCATCCATTTTGGATGAGAATTGAGTGAGTTGTGCATGTTTTCTCACAGCTGCGCAAAACAGTCGTTAAACAAACATTTGTCTTTGCAAACCTCGTTCACTAAACTTTGAAGCTCAGAGCTTGAAACTTTAAGATCAAATTAGGGAGTGACATATAATATATCAAAATCGTAGCTTGAATCTATGAAGAACAGACGAGAGAACACCGTTCTGAAATTAGGAAGAAAGGAGTAAAGTACATAGCTTCTGTCCAGCACCCATCTATAGACTTTGACGTAGAATAAGTCTTATCTGCACATTGAATTTGAGAAAACTCAAAATCTCAAAGATGTAGATATATGTTTTATCTTTCAAATGCAACTTGAATCATGAATTTTGGAGCTTCGAGATGAAAGTTGTGCGGAAAAAGCTACAGCAGAGCAAAGCTGACAGCAAGCTTTTAAAAAATGGGTTGATTTATTTTAGAGATTTTAACTTTTCGTTATCTAGTTTGGAGTATATATAAAGAATTTGTTGGAGATGCTCTGATTAACTAGTCATGTTTGATCAACTAAATGATAATGTAAACTAACCTAAAAAACTCTAAATAGAACATATGTTGGATTTAAAGATGGTCCCTAACATTTCTGTTCCGGAGATATATAGGAGGTTGTTGCCATGGTTACTGAAACATTATAGTGGATGTGATGATATTTTTCTGCATTTGACATTTCTGAGCATAGGGCTCTCGGCACTGGGTAAAACTTGGCAAGTGTCTTGACGGGGCAACCTGAATGTGTTGCAGCCATGGTGATTTCTGATCCCC